TGAACCTGTGTACCTGTTACTGTTATAAAGTAAATGTATGTGTTTCATAGGACTATATATAGACAGCAGGCCTCTGGAATGGAGACTTCCTAAATACTTCATTTGTATTTTTTAAAAGCTGCGCTTAGTTTACTCACAGTCTCGCTGATTATATTCACTGGAAATGTTTTAATAAAGCTCTGCATTGTTCTTCTTTTGACATAGATTATATTTGTTTTATTGCTGTCTGCATCCTCATGTTATAATTTATTTTCTGTCCAGTGGTCACCTTCTTGCTTTCTTTTCACTAACTTAAAGAGCAACTGAAGTGACTTCAGCACTGATATGGGAGGTGAACCATGAACTCAAGGGGGTCTTCCTCTGTTTGTATGGTTGAGAAAAAGGGCTTTAATTACTGGTCAGATCAAATGTACTCTTATGTTCTATGGACAGCTGTCTATATCAACCTATAACCTTTAAAAAAAAAGTAAAAAAAAAAAAGAATATAAAAATACTATGATGCAAATTGTATTCCTCAAAAGTCTCTAGTTAAATTACAGTTTTTTACAGCCGCTAGGACACATTTCTCAATACTTAGGTCACTTTTGCAAAACTCTTCACACAATTCTCCTAACTGACCTTCAGCTTGGCAAAGCAGTTCATTTCACATTCAAAATGCACTACAACTACCAAAACACTTTATTCAGGTCTCAAATAAACTCATTCTTCCAGAACACTAGCAAAGGTTGGCAGCCGACAAACACACTTTGTCACCCACAAAACAATGATCTAAAAAACACTAACAACATGTAGCATTACACAGTGTTTTCTTGTGTAAAACAAGGACACATCTCTGTTTATAATTTCAATATATGTTACTGGAATGAATCAGACATCATGCAGAATTCGTTAATATTTGTTTATGTATTTTTATTTTTTTGCACTAAGTAATCCCAAAATACAAGAATTTGTATACACACCATCCACTGATACACATACAATAGTAATGCTAATCTACTCGGTCTCCTCCATTTGGCCACAGGTTCTCATCCACATCACATCTTATGTCATCTAGGGCAATACACCTAGGAAAGAATAGAGTAACACCTGTGTAGATGTTCATCTA